CAACCCATAAGCTAAGTACAAAGGACTTGGAGCAATTACGCTGGGATTGACTGACACAAAATCGCATTTGCACCCAGAAGAGAAAAATTCCGCGGTGAATACAAAAGCTCGTCGGGCTAATTACAACGATCATAGTCTTTACTGAACTTCGTACAGAAGCCTACGTAAGCGCAGGGAGATCTAGGGCGGCGAAAATCAATTCGAAGGGCTATAACATCAAAGTTCAGGGGTCTGGAACCGAAAAGCGAGTTTCGGGCTTTCCCTCTGATAAAGAGACGTGGGAACTTGGGTAAAAACACGAAACTGTTCCAGTGCACACCGTCTCTACAAAATAAAGTCCAGAAGCAAGAGGACTTCCACAAGGGAAGGATAACCGTTCCTCTCGCCTTACACAATTCCATGTGCTTTACCACTCTAATTAATAGGCACACTGGAGGACAAATCCAATCATTATCGTGCTCCCAATCTTGGGAGAAGGCATCTACTGCTACACAGCCAGTCTGAAAAAATCTCAGTGTTAAATCTTGGTACCTTAGCGTTATAGGAACAAGCAAATCTGTCAACGGTGTGGGGCCCCCATGCAAATACCGACGTAGACGAGGGTTACTGGGTGATTTTACGCCACGTGACGCAAAGTAGCCAATAGAATCGCGCAATGATAACTACTTGTAGCGTATAGCATCAATGAAACGTCGATGAGATTGTTAATGCTTTGCAACAGCATAAAAGAATACACCTTTTACTTGAAACCTTGAAAACTGCAAACAGCAAACCTCAAAATAACGAAAAAAAAAATTGGTCATGTGGTTATCTATGCTATAAACTTCATACTTGACCTCTCTAAAACCGACTATCCCGTTCAGGATGATCTTGCAAAATTGCATCACACTGCTTCGTTCAATCCTTGGTAATTGTACCTTCAGCCTTTGCGCTATTTTTGGTTTGCTGATTTTGTTACTCGCTTCAGGCTATCACCAGACCTACTTGCGCGAAGACTGGGTCAAGGCTAATAACCAGCTGTCAAAATGGCGATCAAGAATAGGCCCTCAATACAATTTCGGAGAATATTCTCTCTTACTTTCCTAGCGCTAGGTATATACTATTTCTAACTACATGTGAATGGAATTCATGCACAATTTTGCGAGCGTGATCTTAATTTTTTCTTTCTTTCAGTCGTTTTGTTCTGTAGGTGCAATGCGTTCGTCAAAGAGCTTGACGACAGGTTAGGAGAAGATTCAATTTGTGGTTTATTTTCTTGTTCTTATTTTAAACGTTATGGTACTTTTATTGTTTTTAACATTCTTGTGTACTTACCATGGGGTGCGGGATACAGAAAATGAAAGAAAAGAGGAAAATTAACAAAAGGACGACCTCGAACGACGGGAAACGGACAATTGATTGGAGACGTCACTTCTTGGAAATCATATTGCTCCCTATTCTCTTTGTCATATGAATTAATGGGTTTTGACTTTGCGTTGTAAATGCAGTAACACTCGAAAAAGGGGAAAGGGGAAACCTTTCTAATGAATCTTGTGATCAACAAATCAAGCCCGGCCAATAATTTTCAATTGCTTAAGAGTTAACAAGAGGAGTAAAATTGTAAGGCAACGTGAATCAGTTTAGGTGGCTAGTTAGAAAGCCCATACTGCTAGAGTTTAACCCATTTTCAGTAGCTTGGAATAACTGTGTATTTTTTCATCCCATTGGATGGGACAACAGTGAATATTTGGGTTAGCCCCAGGGTTTTGTCATTTTTATAACCAGGTAATTTAGTATTCATTTATCAACTGAGTTGATAATACAAAATTACTCTCCCACTGATGCAGTACTGCAGTTTCTTTAGAAAATTATCTCCTTTATTCTTTTGGCTTGTTTCCTTGGCTGTTTGCTATTACCCACGTATACTCTTGGGCCGAGAGCTAGAGAGGTTTGGTGCAAGCAAAGTTTCTTGCTAAAGAACACAACTAAGGACTTGCACTGGAGGTTTTAATTAGAATTGTGGGCTACTGACCACCATTCTACTAAACCGCCAGTTCTTCCAAATGAAGGTGTATTACCATCCTTTTAGTCTGAATTAAAAGTAATCTGTGATATTCTTTCCCTCTCACAGTTTTTCATCTCTGATGAATGAGGGTAGCTGGTTAGTTGAGGTATGGTCTCAATTCTTTTTTTTTAACCCTTTAACTCCCAAGATCTCATCAGTAATTCTCCTTACTGTCTGCTATACAATTCTTCTAATGTTACTTTTGATAATTTGCTGTTGGATCAACTAATAATCCCCTAATTGATACTTCTGTCAGTTCTCGTCACTTGTCTTCTTGATTTTGTATTGATATTGTAAGGACTAAGACACTCGTGGGAGTTTCAGGGTTAATGAATTTGTTATCCACATGTCAAGGACAACAAAGGAGGCAATTTTTCTACATGTCTTCCCTCGTATACCGGTAATATGGCCACAAACTTCCTGGTTAAATCATGACCACTTTTGTCCAATACCTTAGTTATAGGCCTCTTCCAGTGTCTTGTTATCAGCAAAGTGGACCAAAAAATGCAGTACCTCAGTCTTTCCATTAATGCTTCATGTCTGTTAAGCTTTTGGAAATGTCTTTTAGTTCTATGCCCCATGGTGTGGTTACTGCAAGAAACTAGAGCCAATATGGGCTGAAGTAGGGAAAACTCTTTATGGATCACCTATTAGAGTTGGAAAATTAGATGCAACTAGATACTCAGGTAAAGATATTTGCAATGAAAACTTTCTTTTATTGCCATGGCTCTTTAAGGGTTAAATGTAGTTGTGCCTTTTTATGATTCCACTCATTCATTAGAAGGGGCAATTACTAAAAGGAAAACAAAATCTTTGGGTGTTGGGGTTAAGTCTGGCCTCTGCATTCACTCAGTTTTTTTTTTAAATTTGATTTGTACAATTAATTATTTTCAAATACTTGGTTATATTATCGTGTGATAAGAATAGATTAGAGTAGATAGCTTGATGTTCTTTACAATTTCTCATTCGGATTTCACTATTTAAGAAATTATCTCTATTCTGATTTTGTTTATTAGCATTAGCAAAACACTTTGGTATCAGAGGATTTCCTTCAATTAAATTGTAAGTAGCATCAGCAAACTATTAATAACACTAACTCAAAAACTACATTTTACATGCTACATGGAAATAAATTCAGGACAAAATTTTTTGTTTTAAACTTCAATCATGAACAAGATGTTTTAGATAATTACACAAATTGAAATTTGAATTTGCTTTATATAAATAAGTAAATTTATATATATATATATATATATGTATATGTATATTTAAAAAAACCAAGAGAGACTCATTAGGCATGACCTTCAGCGATGAACCCTTTCTCTTCTACACTTCTTAAAATATCAAAGGACTTCTGTTCTTGGAAAAATAAAAAAAGTCTGAAAATTATAATCCCTTTATTTAACCCTTACTCCTTTGGATGGGATTTTTGAAGCTGATTTGTAGATTATGGTCATACCTTGCTAGATTGTACAGCTGTCTTATTTCTAAGGAACACTCCTAAGTATTTTCAATTTATCAATAGGTTACTAACTTGTTGTTCTACAATTTTTTGCTTGTGGTATAACAGTATTAAAGGAAAGAGAGTTTTAACATTTGAAGGTGAACGCACAGTCCAGGATTTTGTCCAATTTGCAGAGAAGGCAAACAGGTGAGATATGTTTGCTTCCCTGTCCTTGTGCTTCTAATTCTTTTACTCTCAGAAGTGATCAACATGAAGTTTCTCCTTGTAATATCCTTATATTATCCAGCAAACAGGTAATGAGAATACGCAGACTTATCAGGTGCAAGTTGCTATCTTGATCCAATACCAAATTCTCATAACTAATTTAAAAGAGAATGGGTAGCAGCTAGAAGGGAGAATTAAAATCAGATCTTGTGAGTTACAGGACTAATGCAAAATGTTTGACTGTGTGTTAGTCTGTCCAGTGACCCACTCAAAGTTGATATAAATCAGAGGGGAATTTATTCTCATGAAAAAAGAGTATTAGGTGTTCTGGTGTTGAATCCTTTTGCTGTTGGTAATCTAAAGTTAATCTGTCATGGTAGGATGATTCAGGGCTTATCAGAAACTAGAGAACCTTAAAGGCTTAAAAAAAAAATATCAAAACTGAGGTGATATGTTAAAGCCGTTGGAACTGAAAAGTCAAGCAGAAAGCAAAAAATTAAAAGTTATGTTTGTTTGATTTAAAAAACAAGAGAACCAAATATCAAAAATGGAACACAAACAAATTAAAAGTAGATACAAACACCAATTAAACACTCAGATAATTACTTGGAGTGCAATACCTAAAAAACTATTCTTGTCAATAATGACCAAATTGACGAGTGACAATGAAAATAACTAAATGTCTTGTTTGTCAAGGGCTTGTAAACTAATGCAAGAAAGAGCTGACTGTGTCCCTTAAGATCAGAGGAATTTCATGCAGTGAATCTTACAGTTCAATTTTTGTTGTTAATATGTGTTTGTGTTTATCTTATTTATATTTTTCAACTATGATTACCCTTCAGACCAGCAGTTACTGAGCTCAAGGATGCAGCCCAAATGGAGAGAATAAGAAATGAGAAAAGTGTCTGTTTTTTCCTAGTAACAAGCAATGACAATGCACAGTTGTCAGAAAAACTTAAAGTAAGTTGTTCTTAATGGCAGATCTGTTCTTAAGATTTTGTTTTGAATCATAACCTAAGAATGAGATTTGAGACCAAAATTATTCACTGTGAATAACAAGTCATGGACCCTGCATGATCAATTTTAAGTTAGTTGTTGCTTGAAACACAACAACAACATCAACAAGAAGCTCCAAGAAGGAGTTTAGATGAAAATTCTAATTAAGAGTTTTGTAATAAATTTTAAGTGTCACATACCGGTATAGTACAATATTGGACAGTTGGTTATTTTGTAATGTAAAAAAACCTATTAAACTGGTCAGCTGCACTCACTACACATATCTATCTTCTTTGCTTTCCCCGCTTAATAAGAAATGTACATAAAATGAGGTAGTTGGATAATATTTAACTTATTAGATGTTATGGTGTGTTGTATTGCCAAGTATTTTAACCCATTGTTTGCATTTTGACTTGAGCTTCAGGCTTGTCAATATACAGCAGAACTTGTAAGATACTCAGTGATACCACACACTAGAACATCTAATAAGATATTTTTACTTATATCTAATTACGGACTTATTTTTTTTTCTAAGCATATTTTTTATCAAGTTGCTGAAGATAAGGTTATTCAAAGCTATTTTTATCAAATTGATCAGGGAGCTTTACCAGAGGTGAGAATCTATATATAAATCAAATGGAGGAAAAAATTATGGTTACCGTAATAGTGTAATTAGTATTAGTGCTTTGGATATAACATCTTATAATCAGGTGTGATTTCATCTGCAAGCATTACCTACAGTCATGCTTATTAGTACATAATTCCTTAATTGATGTGTTACCAGCCACTACAGAACAGGACTACCTCTTAAATGCGAATTATAAAATGATAATATTATTGCTCCATTGAATCTTGTTCAGTTAATCTACTTTTTTCCTCTGACAAGGATGTTGAGGTAAAAGGGCCAACTGTCATTGTTTCAAAAGATGGTTCCATATCCATGCTTGAAGGTATGCAATAACATTGGAAAATTAATTTATGACTGGTATTGAGTCTTTATATATCATGATGATTAGATAAATCCTCTACATTATATTAGCCATCATGATGTTAGATGCATTTCTTTTTCCATATTTAGCTTACTTCTACGATGAGTGGCTGTTAACCCTTTAACTCCCATGAGTGACCAAGACAGAATTTCTCCTTTAATAAAATATTGATACAATATCAAGCAGACAAGTGATGAGAATAAAGAAAAATCTTAATTAGGGGATTATTAGTTGATCCATTACCAAATCCTCCCAACTAGCATCACAAGAATTATATAGCAGACAGCAAGGAGAATTACTAATGAGATCTTTGGAGTTAAAGGCTTAAGTCTTGGCACATGCCACTACTCGTTTGATTTTTGCTGTAACTTCCATTTATTCCCCCCTCACCCCCATTTCAATGTTGCCTGATGTTAACAAAATGCTCTCTAATTTCAGGTAACATTGTTTGGGGTAAAAGAGGGAACTTTAAAGTAACTTAGTTAAGATGAATCACAAGATTTCTGTTTATTGTGTTAACCCTTTCACTCCCACAAGTGACCAAGACAGAATTTCTCCTTACAATATCAATACAATATCAAGCAGGCAGGTGATGAGAATAGGGAAGAATGTCAACCATGGGATTATTAGTTGATCCAATACCAAATTCTCTGAACTAACATCATAAGAATATTGTATTGTATGGAAGATAGTAAGGAGAACTACTAATTAGATCTTGGGAGTGAAAGGGTTAAGTAGAGGGTTTATTGACCACATAGTAAGGGAGGCCTGTCAACTACTTCTGCCACTCAATGTAGATTTTTGGTGTCTTTTAGCCATTTGTCAATGATGTAAATTGCATAAAATATTGAACTTAGCAAATAACAGCAGATGCTAAATATGGAAAAAGTTGAGCTATGTATGATGAATAACCATTGCTGACATGCAGAACTTTTAAAATTAACAGGGAAGCTCTCCCTATAATACCCATACATTATTCTGCAAGCAGTTAATGAGAATACTCAAAATTATTAAGTAGAAGTTGCCATCTTGATCTAACACCAAATTCTTGTTACCAATTTACAAGGATATGTGTAGCAGCTAGTGGGGAGAACTCACAATCAGATCTTGTCCTATATGCTGAAAGAAATAATTTTGTTGACTGATTAATTTTAATTTGATTTAAGGTTCAGACGATGTAATTGAAGAGAGTACGTTATCTGGATGGGTAAATAATGAAAGATTTGAAGCATTTGTTCATGTCACCAGGTCGAATTTTCATGATATCACCACAACTGGTAAATGACACACAATTGATTCTATTTTACACAATCCCACACTGATTCAATATACTGACTGTCAAGTTTGTTATGAATATATTGTAATTCAAATATTTTCTTGGTTAAAAATTCTAAAGCAGCAGTAGATTGATTTTCATTTTCCTTGGAATATTATGATCATTACAAGTCAAAATAAAATGCAAAAATATAACTGGTTTGAAAATCTAAGTGCAAGAAAAAAAATAATCACTGACAATGATTAAGTCCCTTTTAAGAATAAATCAATCAATTCAAGAGCCTCAGGTTTGATTTTCTTTTTATAACTTAATGCTCTTTAGGTAAAATAATGCTGTTAACTGTACTGGCAGAACAGAAGAGTAAAAAGAAAATAAATGAAAGGTATTTGAAAATTCTACTCTATATCATAATGATCTCATTGGAGATTTCTTGTCGCAAAATTGTTGGTATGAATCAATCTATTATTTGAGCATTTTTTTATTTTGACTCATTTTTGGCTGGGAATCCTAGTATAGGGCCACACTGCTAACATCTTTAAGTTAATAACAGTAATTTAGAGTGTAGTGCTTTTCAAATTTGCAAAGAAATTCTGAAGGTATCTCATTGATTTCTTGGCCAAGATAAAGTGCAACCTCATCATTATTATGTGATGATGATGAGGTGGCATTTATACAGGGCATTATCCATTCTAATGTTCCAATGTGCTTTACAACACTTTGTGGGGGACTTTGGCCAGACTGCATTATGCAGTTTACAATTTTTTGAAAGAGAATTTTGTTGCAGTCCCCAATTTTGGAAATATTGCCAGACCATAAGACAAGGAGCTACATTCCTTACTCTTTGTGAGAAGTGTTTGGGCTCTCTAATGTCCCCTGCTCACTGGCACAGAGAAGATGCAGGAGATAGGGCCTGAGGTTTATTGTCCTTATCCAAGATGACAAGAATGTCGAACCATTTTCAGATCTCATAGTAAAGGTAGCAAACCCTCTTCAGTTATTTGAAGATGCTAAGTGTTGGTCTGGTCCGAACTTGAACCTTTAACCTCCCACAGGGCAGTCAAGTGCTCTAAAACCTGAGCTAACCAGGCAGTGGCAACTGATGATATGTAGAATAATAAGAATGAGACATTTTTTTCATTGTTTATATCCTGAGTTATTTGTGGGGAAATTTAGTGTTATCAACTGAGTTGAAAATGTAAATTGGTCACCATAAAGAGTTTTAACCCTTTCACTCCCACAAGTGACCAAGACAGAATTTCTCCTTACAATATCAAGCAGGCAGGTGATGAGAATAGAGAAGAATATCAATCATGGGATTATTAGTTGATCCTATACCAAATTCTCTAAACTAACATCATAAGAATTGTATGGCAGATAGTAAGGAGAATTACTAATATTAGATCTTGGGAGTGAAAGGGTTAAGGCTGACATTTTGAGCGTTAGCCCTTCGTCAGAATGTAGGGAATATTCCTTGCCATTTAATTCAGTATCACTCTGTGTAGTCTCTAACATGAGATGAAGACTTATTTTCAAAAGTGCATGTGGAATATATAATGTTGTTTTTTTAATTGTATCAGGGTTAGCAAAATTGTCAAAAGTGTGGCCATAAATGAACGGCAAAGATTTCACAGGCAAGTACAACATTCTGCAGCTTCATGCAGATCAATATCAGTATCTGGGCAACTGCCCACCTACCCCTCCTCTAACCCAACATTAACCCTAACTTGTTATCAATTGACTATTGTTGAGTTAGGGGAGGGGTAGGTGGGCAGTTGTACAGATACTGATATTGATCCCTTCATTCTTTACATGACTGAACAAGGAGGCTTTTTCTACCCTTAGACTCACTGATTTACTCTGCTAGAGCCTTTTTCAATTCCTTTAGGTCAGATATAAAGGGGAGTTTTGCTACTCTTGTTGGATGTAACACAGATTTGATGTGCACTGTAGATTACCCCCCAGCATCAAGGTTTACTTAGAGTTCACCAGTAACTGTGCCTTAAGACTGTTGAGGCCAAAGAAACTACTAAAAATATGTGTGGGATCACATGTTTAGATGTAGAGAAGACGCATAGGAGTAAATTCTGAAATGACCTTGTTGTTGCCCAATATACCTTTTCTAGTCCAATACCATATCTCTCTCAAATAATGTAACATGGAAAAAGTTTATCTAAAAATCAAACATTTAACAGTTGCCAACAGACAAGAAGAAGTCATAAAATTAAGTAAAACTTTCTATAATGGTTAGACTGGCTTGTTATAACTTTCTTTTCAGGCATTTTCAGTTTGGATGGATGTTGGGGGATACTATTGCAACAAACCTCATGATGAGGTACTAGTAAAAAGATTTTAAATGACTTTTTTTCACTAATATTTTTTTAGTATTTAGAAATTATTGCTATTGAGGCAGTAAACTTCAAAGAAGTTCTGGGTTACTGCATTAATGCAGTAAGCCAGTTGCAACCTTTACAAGCATTCAACAGTCAGAGTAAACTGCTGGTCAATAAGAGAGCACACTTTTACACAATTCCACAAAAAAAAAAGAGGAAAGAAAAAAGAAAAATGTAGACTTACATCAAGGCAAAGAAAAGGACAAATTGTGAATCAATAACTTGAACTTAAAACTGATGACATTCTTCGTGTGAAAATGAATTTATAATATTATATGTACTGTTGCAACATATAATCAGACTCTATGGGTAGAAAAATAACAACTTTTGCATTAGGTTTATGATAAAAATTAAAGAATGGATTTAGCGCTGGACATTCCACAAGATGGCTCGCCTTGTCCATTGCTTCCAGATCAAATTGGAATTTAGAATGTTGGTTTTTATTGAGGGAGGAAAACCGAAGGACCCAGAGAGAAACTCATGGAGTAGGGACAAGGACCAACAACAAACTCAACCCTTGTGTGACACCATGTCTGGGAGTCGAACCCAGGCCACAGCAGTGGGAGGCAAGCACTCCCACTACTGCACTATCCCTGCTCCATCCCTACTCCCTTTTAATTAACCTATTATTATTACTATTATTATTATTATTATTACTATTATTATTATTATTATTAATATCATTGCAATTATTATATTGATAATAAGTTCTTTTCTTTTCATTCTCAGCTCAATGTCAGCCCCATTCTTAATGGCATATAACAGTACAAATCATGTGTATTACTTAAAGCAGTATTCAGAGATTAAAGAGGAATTTACTGAACAGCAGTTGGTATCTTTCCTTGAAGATGTGTTGGAGGGTCGTGCAAAGGTATCTCTATAGTGTTTCCTACTGAATGTAGTTTATCTCTGAACTCTGGTTGCAGTCATGCCGTCATTTTATGAATTAACCGATTAAACTTGTTTTTCATTTTGCAGGGATACGGTGGAGACTCGTACTTTCAAAGATTCTATAGGGTAAGACACTGCTGTAAAATTACTAAACACCTTGTTTTTTAAATGTTGAGGCTGAGATGAACCAAAATTGTAGGTGCATATTTTTAGTTAACAGCATTTTTGTCAAATAGTTAGTTTCAGAGGAACGTTGAGGTTGAGGTATTACCAAATTTAAAGCGCATGCTTGGAACATACCTCAGAGTGAGAAGAATCGTTAAGAACATCTGCACTTTTTGTCGCATTGTGACTCTGTGTTTGAAGCGTTTATTAAAGCCAATTTAGCAAGGAAATTAGGGCACATCGCTCAAGGATTTGACAAGTATCTTGTCATTACATCAGGGTAATAAGCCATCTTCATCAAAGTCCTTTGTCTCGTCTACGTGTTTTACTTGGGTACCCTGTGGAAGGCATGTGGTTAAACTTCAGGATCATTTTTCTTTTGAAAGCGAGTGTAGTTGGAAATGAACGATGAAATGCGGCGTGTTTTCCCTTAAAATTGGGCATCATCAGCATAAATATCGCGATAGTTTCACGTTTTATAGTATAACTATTAGTATTCATTGGTTTAATCTCTTTCAACAGGGGATTTGGGAACTTCTCAGATCGATTTACGTAAGTATTGAAAATCTTTCATATTAAGAGGGTCTCAATGGGGTCCACCGTCCGCCGTAAAACGGCCGAAATTTCAACCGTTAGTCAAAAAATCATTACCCCATCGGGACCCTCAATTAACATTTATGTCCTGTTAACATTTATGTTCTGTTTGCTCTTGTTCATGAGAAATTTATTTATTTTTTATGTATCATGTGCAACACACACACAGTAGTATTTTCTCCCTCATAAAGCAGTGCTACATGCACTTTGTCCACAAAAGTACATCAACAATTTTTCCATTGTCCCAGTTTCCTTCATTTTGGTTCTCGCTCTTGGAAGGAAAGAGAAGCGATGTTGCTTCTTCATCAAGTCTAAACTGTATTTTTTGATGAACACAGGAAATCTGGACCACCCAACCCATTGCTGCTATACTCATGTTTGGCTTCCCTCTGCTGGTGTTCTCATTCCTAATCTATATGCTGTGTATCGCTGACCCTGGACCTGAAGAGGAAGATTTGGAAGAGCTTCAAGAGGAAGGCACCGAGTATTTAGATGATGAAGATGGAGAAAGAGAACTGAAAGCAACTGAGGAAGTTGATGCAAACCCAAAACCGAAGACAGAATGATCGATATTATTCGGAAACATAAGCATTGTAAGTTCGGTTCAGTTGCGGCAGCTTCTACCGTGCCAGAATCGCATTGACAGCAAGTACTCTACACGAGATGTTCAGGTTTTTCTGAAGATCAAGTGAGACTGGTTCTCCTTAAACTGCATAGGTAGCGGTATTTTTAGCGATTGATGATAAATAAAGACAGCGGAGTGCAACTTCGAATAGTAAAACTATTTTCCTTCCTCAGCCTCTCGCGACTCTGTGTTCATGGCTTCGAAGTGCACAAGAAAACCCTCATCTACGCAGTCGAGGTCCTTGCTCAGCTGCTTAGAGTCCATTTCAATCGATATTGGTTAATCCTATTCCAATGTTATCACTACGGCCAATGAGTGGGAAGGGGAATGTAACATGAAACACGAAGCCAATAAAGGGGGGAGGGGGGGGTGTGTTAATGATAACTCAAATTAAAACTAAGCAAGCTGCCAAAAGTTACGGCAAACGCTAGTGACTAAGTCGCACTTAAGGTCCATTGCTTTTGGTTATGCAAGTTTTCTCGACCAACCACAAGCAAAGTGAATCAAAACCAATGGGAATGCAACTCCTGATTACCTTGAAGACTCCATTGAAAGTCCTCAAGCAATGATGCGTCATCCACGCATATGCGTTCTCTCTTTCTCCCCCCCCCCCCCCCCCCCCCCCCCCCCCCCCTCTAGCCTTTCGTGTGCAGACTGTAAGCGCCAGGGGGTCCACTAAGTTCAGCTACAAGCACAAGAAGCATCGCCAATTCTCAGTTGACCGTATGGTAAAGGAACGAATGCATCTCAGTCCGAAAGAGTCGGGTTACGCTTATTTGGCCGAATTTCACATTTCACATTTCACCGATGACTGACAAGACTGTTTTGTACGTAAACTAAAGCTTTCAGAAAATAACTAATTAACTTTCCTTCCTTTGTCACATTCTATTCGTTGCCTCTATTTTACATTTAATGCAGTGAACTCCACATATACAACTAAAGGAAAGTTAATAAATATATACCGGAATCAAATCATTTTTGAAGTCGTGTAGACTGAGTATCTCAACATAAATGTACCCAGCTGAACTTTAAAATGTATTCTTCGGAAGGGACTTTCGCCCATCAAGGAAATTTTCCACCCCCTATATTAACCCCCACCCACCCTTTTTTTTTCCTTACTTAAATTCACCTTCGCTCCGTTTCTGTACTACCACGAACTTGCTATGGGGCGAAACCTACGAAAGCCCTCGCAAAAGGGCAAGACATAGTTAAAGCAGTGCAGTTTAATCCTTCCAAGCTGTGATAGATGTCAGGGCTAACTGTAGTCCTCATGTGTTACGTAAACAATTTTTTTTTCGGCATGCTCTTAGACCCTAATAAAAGCCCTTCCATCCCAATCGAATATCTCTTCCCTGTTAACTAACTCTTCTATTCTCCTATGGCCTATTCTGTAAACTCATACCTTGTGATAGCAAAGCATCACGAGTGCCATTCCTCCACACCCGAGTCAATATTATCTTCCGAGTGTTTTCCTCAGGATTCAACCCTACCGAACTTCACGGTGTGGGGAGGAAGGGTTAATTCACCTACTAAGCTAAAACGAGTATGTGCTGCGCAACAGGATGAGCCACTCAGTTTTAAACAGCTGGTACTATTGAGTGTCTTGAACAGGGTGCCATCAAGGATAGGAACAAGTTAGACTTCAAGAGCTTGAAATTGCCCTCTACTGAGGTTGCAGTAAAGTCGAATGACAGAAATGAGTCTGTCAAAAGATCAGTCCCAAAGACGCAAGAGTGAACCATTCAAACCTTCAGTGCCAAACAAGAGTAATACTCCCAAAGTTCCATTACATTCTTTCAGTAAGCTTGTAAATCTGGAGGTAGATAGTTTAGACCAGCTCTTCTAGGACAGGGTTGTTTACAGCACCAATAAAAATAATCCAGATTTAACCACTATGAAAGAACATATATGGTTTGCATTTTGCCAAGGATTTGTGATACTTGTGTTCTGAGCAACCCAGTCCAAGTTTACAAGGGAGAGGGGGCTTATGAAAATAGAAAGTTACCTGTAAAGCTGAACCTACAGAGAAACTTAACCAGAACTTTCCTATAAAGGTTGGCCTCTGTCTAAATGTGGGGCACTCAGATATCATGGCCAGGCATGATGCCTTATCTCTATATTCAATTGCAATACTAAATCGTGTTTAAGTAAACTATGCAGAACAGAAGAACACATGTTTGCAACAAATGAATTTGGACATTTATTCACAACTTATTTCTTCTTCATAGCATCCTGTTCAGCCTTCTCCCTGGCTCTCTTCTCACGGATGCCAATCAACCTGGCATTGGCACGAGCAATACGCATGCTACAGAATACACTGGTGTTCTTTTCTTCATCTGTGATCTTGCGAGCCTTGACAGGCAGGCGAGACTGTTGGATTGCAATGACTGCTCCTTGAAGTTGAACAGCATTGGACAATTCAGCAGCCTACAATTTGAACAAGTCACAAGAACAATTAACTCAAATATATTTACTGTCTGCATAACTGTTAATCTCACAATCCCACATATCATTAAAACTACATTCCAATTAAAAAAACTAGAAAAAATTTTCAGTCATGCAAACTACCCCCTACCCAACTGAAAAAAAATGCCACTCAGGCAAAATCATTTCTATAGTAGATACCTGTATCAAATAATAAATTAATGATGAAACTAACCATGAAGCCTAAACTGGTTATTAAATAAAACTGAATCTACAGTCTATGGCAATCACAAAAACAGGTAACAGAAACATAGCTTGACAATAATTTAAAAAAGTCCTCAGGACACCATGAGAAGTCCCTACTTCATACCCTCTCATCTGAGCACTTGTCCCTCAAATCAATACCAAAGTAAGCATTATAAAAACCCATGCTTACATCAGGATAGAAAATGCAAAGACTACTGAGTTGTCCCTTAGGGACCACTCTGCAAAAATCACAGCAAACATTTGAAAAGAAAATAAGAAAGAAAACTTTTTGACTCTCTACTATCATCATTCTGATGCACAGTCATGTTTTCTCTAACTTTGAACTTTGATTTACATTAAGTTGGCACAATATAAAAATATTTCCTGAATTCCTTGTCAAGATGATACCACCATCTACAAAACAGCTTCATTGTATAGCAGCACTGCACAAAACAAAGACATCATATGTGTTTCATTTGTTACCTCACTGTCTCCCTGTTTGGGTTTGCTAGCCTTCCTTGGAAAGACAATCAACTTGCTCTTGTACTCCTTCAGTCTTTGTACATTTGCCTGAAGGGATTCTGCTGATCTGTTCTTTCTTCTGTGATCAACAGAAATACCAATGGTTGGAGCTACTTTGCGAGAGATGCCAGCAGCCTGAAAAGATAGAAGAAATTAATGACCCTGTCTGTGACCAAGTTGTTAGTGCAAAAGTTATTTTGCATCTGACTGGTTGAAAGATGTAAAGCAAAGGAAAACTACTGGAAACTTAAAGCACTTTCCCCATGTAACTTAAAATAGCTCTAATAAAACAAGAATTTCAACAAAAACCCATTACTGGTGATCTACATCTACCTACAGGACCTTTTACCACTATCTGTTTCACCTACAAGCACACTGCGAGCATGGGTGTCCAATCTCATACCAACAAGTTACCAGCTAGCATCCTCACAAGACTTTGATTTCTTGTTTTTATTCATTAACTCAGCATTTAAGAGTGACAGGCACTTTGCAGTTGTGTCAATTAAAATTATTATAAACAGAGCAGTCTATAATTGCAAATGAAGAAGCATTCCCTCAGACCACCCTGAGGAGAAAGGGGTTTCACAGCCACTTCTCCCAGCACAGCTACCTATTGCACCATCAGTAGCTGTGTATAGAAAAAGTTATTGAAAAACCTGATATAACCTAAGGATCTACACCAATACCTACCTTTAGTTCTTCCAAAGTGAAGCCTCGTCCAGCCCTGACCTTAGTATTGTACTTGAAAGTTGGGCAACGCACAATCGGACGCAGAGCACCAGCAACTGGACGGGGTGCAATCTGCAAAGCCCTCTTCACACGGGCCACACGCCTGCGCTTCTTGCGTCCAGGCTGATCAAACCATGTTCTTACATAGTTCTGCCACTGTTTGTGGAAATGGTTGTTGTGTATCATGTTATTGTGTTTGGGCGCCATGGTTGGTAAGGTTGGATAAGAAACCTAAAAAAAAAGGGGGATAAATGTAACAAAAAGATTGAAATTTGTTTACTACAACACTACCCAATCCCTTTATTTTCATCTAACTAAAATTAAAATGAATATCAATGACTTATCTGTATTTAAAGCTTTCCATAATACAAGCTTATTTCAACATCATACACAGTATCATATAGAAAAACAAGGAGCTATCTATAAATCTCCCTGAAGCAAGAAATAATCACATGAAACACATTACTTAGTATTTTCAATTCATAAAACAAACATTCCCTCAGAATAAACTACAGTGCAAATGATGGCACTGCAAGGCTTTTTAATTACACATCCTCACTAAGAAATTAACTTCTGGTGAACTCTACCAACATAATATGAGAACATTATGTTGTTATGAGGGTTGTACAAGATCAAAGGTATAGGGATATAAAGGAACACAAGGACACTAGCGTATCAACGTACACTTGGCTTACACTAAAGATGTTCCATTAACACGGGCAAGATGGTCTACTATGTTCCTGACTGGCGTAAGCATGCAAACTTTAATACACAGCAACAAAATAGTAGCTTGAACTGAATTGACTTTTTTTCAGATTGACTGTGACAAATTCTTAAAATCGTGACACAATAAGCAGTAAGCTTTCAAGTTCTATCATCAGCATAGTCACAACTTTGACTTCGATAAGGTTACCTGACCATCAAAACAAGTGTACTCAGTTCATGAAAGTTTCGCAGACAATGACAATAAAGTTACAGCTTAGACACTGACTTGTACAGGTTTATACTTAATAGCATAAATATTGCAAGACTGAGAAGACGAATAAAAAATGCCGAGGCACTACCCTTTAATACAACCATATCACATATTTCATCAAACCACTAAAAATACTGTATTTCATACTGAGTGTCTGACAATCAAGGGAGGTAAAAACTACTCCAGCTAGACGATTGTATAAAAATAATTCTTTGATTAAACAAAAAATTTATTGATAAATTGATATAACTCAACAGCTTCAAGAATTATGAAGCGATGCGAGAGAAATACATGGATTGTTGCTCGGCACTGACCTTACAACCAAATCTTCACCACAATGCAAGGAAAGAGGACGAGAAGGGAGAGGACGTGAAGCATTGTGGGATATCTGATAGAAGTCAGCGGTCTATTTCATTTATTAAAAGTGCTCCTTCGATTTGTAGTACATGTGCGGGAATTCTGTAATCTAAATGATCTTCAAATGATAATTGCTTTAACTGTAATATGTCTGTACAGAAGCTAAAGAAATCTCAGAAAGATATTGCTGTATCAAATGGATCAGTGTCTGCGGTAGTGAAAAAGGCTTTCAAGAAAAATTCCAGTTGGGAAGATAAGGTAGGTTAATAAATTTACTTGCGATTGGTAAAATTCTGCAAGTGGAGATTGATCATTTAATTAATTGTTATACCTCTTACGTTTGTTGTTAAAAGATGATTTATTACTTCTTATTTTAAGTAATATCCCTTCCACAGTTTGCTTACAAAATGCTATTTGGAGTCCTTACTTGTGCATGTAATTAACTGCACGAACAAGCCCAGCTTAGCATAGTCAAATATTGCATTTGATTTTAGCAATTTAGACGACAATTTCTCGAACGTACTAAACACATCATGGCGTAACCATCAAAGCTATGTATAGCATTTGCGTATTTAGATTGAGAACATAATATTCTTATTCGACACTGGTCAGTTTGTTCAGCTACTTGGATTACGCATTTGCAACAAGAACCTGCTTGGGTAGTGTGGAGGGGAGGGAGGGAGGGGTAGTTCTCTTCCTTGGGTGCCTTACATCCAGGAAAAAAGTTCAACATTTCTGGTCTGAAAATCAGTGGAACAGGAAAGTTTCTGGTGAAAGCTACTAGTTATCTAGAAATTTCTGAAATTTTCTGTCCCATTGGTAATTTCAGTCTCCTGCATATGCAGCTGTATCAGTGGGTGACTTGACTTTTGTCAACAAATTAGGACTTTTCCCAGAATAAAAGTGGGACCCATGGCTTTTAAAGTCATTGCATTCATATATTCAAAATACAGTTAAAAGGACTACTATTGAGAATGAGATGCATTTTACACACAGTATGCATCAATCTAAAGCTCATGGTTTTGAAGTTCTCGGACTGCCTCCCTTTGACAAAGTAAATTTTCCAAAAGCATATCAAGATCTTTTGTCAATAGGAAAGTGCCCCTTGTTAATCTGGCTGATCTACATTCAAAGATTAAAGAAACCTGGATAGTTACACGAAGGCTGATGTAAAAACCAGATCATGCTTTGTTCAGTGAAAATGTTTTTGTCTTCCAAGCAACCCTGTCCTTACTTTTCAATGCTGAGGAGGAGGAGGAGGAGGAGACATGGCCAAGTGGTTAGGGTGCTGGACTTGTATTCTGGTGGTCTCAGGTTCAAGTCCTTCACCCTGCCATTTACTGGATTTGTTCTTGGTTGCCCTGAGTTCAACTCCTTGGTGGCACCATGTTAATAGCCAAGTGGTCTGCCTCCTGCTAGTTGGGATTCTCAAGCACTTTGTATTTGTTTCAGTCACTGTAAAGCAGTATTGGATAGTGATAGAAATGGCGCTATTTATAAAGTATTATTATCACTATACAATGAAATTTTGTGTAACACTTGGGACAGAGACTAAGAAAGGCAAGAAAATTCCCATCACCTAAACTTTTGACAGCAATTGTAGAAAACATCTTTGTGATATTAATATAAAGGTACTTTACCAAGTCACTGATCTTTCTGTTTTATCTTCAGGATGAATTCCTTGATGTAATATACTGGTTTAGACAAGTGTTAGCAATTATTTTAGGCATTATTTGGGGTCTGCTACCTTTGAAAGGAATCCTTGCTATAGCACTGTAAGTTGCTAATTGTCATTTTGCATTTGTTGTCTTTATTTCTCATGAAATGTTGAACAAAATCAGTCTAAAAATTTTAAATGGTGCTATCCTGGGTTAACCCTTTAACTCCCACAAGTGACCAAGACAGAATTTCTCCCTACAATATCCATACAATATCAACCAGATAAGTGATGAGAATGAAGGAAAATATCAATTTGGGGACAATCAGTTGATCCAATACTAAATTCTCTGAACTAACATTATAAGAATTGTATGATAGACAGTAAAGAGAATTACAAACTTGGTCTGAGAGTTAAAGAGTTAATCTTTGATCTCCAAAGGTCTGAAAGTAATTCTCATTGCTGGCTACTCTTTGCTTCTCAATAAATCAGGAATGAAAAGCTTTTTTTTTCTTGTTACCTGTTTTCGTGTGATGATGTATCAATTTTGTAAAGAGAATAAACTTGTTTATTGTTTTTGGGAGTTGATTGTGACTGAACAGCCACAATTTTATGATTTTCAGATTTGCCCTTATAAATGCTGGTGTTTTGTACATATATTTCACAAACTTTCAAAAGATTGATGAAGAGGAATATGGTGGACCATGGGAACTGACTAAAGAAGGTTTTATGACATCATTTGCCTTATTTTTGGTAAGTGCTAAATATCTTAGAAGCATATAAAAGATCTATAATGTAGAAAAGAAAAATAAACCCTTTTTAGCTCTTAGGCTATCTTTTAAAATGTTACTTTTTCTGCCACAGGGAAAAGACCTAATCTCAAATTTGCACCATATGTTTTGGTTCTTGAAATCTGAGAGATACATTTTAGGCATCTCACAAAATACAAACTCAATTTAAGTATAAGTAGGGTTGCTTCAGAAACTTTCTTTGTTTTTTTTTTTTTTTTTTTTTACAAAATCCGACATGGGCTTTTCAAACATGAACAGGAAAATCTTGTCTAGGAATATCTAATCAGTAGATGACTTAACACTGACTATTGTCAAGGTCATAAAGATTGTAAAAAAAGTGATGGGAAATTTTACCTCAATAAGTATTCTTGGCCAGTATTTTTGAAATTTTTTTCTCAACAAAGGAAATGGACAGAGAAACTTGTTAGATCTGGAAGTGTAGACAACTGATGGCTCAATTACCCACAGCAGTCTTACACCATTGAAATATTTTGTCCTCAATATGTTTGACTCACTTAACTGTTGTTACAGTTATAGTAGAGTTACATTCTTGTATTCTATATTTTTATTTGGTAAACTGTTCATAATTGCATGTAGCAGTGAGATTTCAGTGGATTAATTCATCAAATTTACTTCATAAACATATCCTATTTTGATATTAATAACAAAATGCCTTGAATTATTTTACAGGTTATCTGGATTATATTTTACTCTGCTGTCCACTTTCCTTGATGTTGTTAATGGACTCTGTTGTACATCATTACTGGAGAATGAGGAAGATGTGATCACTAGCATCATCTCACTGTAGTTAAGGACCCAGTTTTTCATCATAATTGTCAAGTGAATAATACCATTGTAGATGAGTTCTGGGCCAGAACTGCACCTTCTGTACACCTAATATACTGGCAATTTTCTCTATGATGCCACCAAGCCTAAAACTTTGACAGAATACAACATTAAGATAATTCTGATTTAAAGGAGTGTCATGAAATCTAATTCCCTATCATTTTAGACAAAGTTGGTAAAATTTTATGTATAGAGAAAGCTTGTTTATATGTAACTAATTTCTCTAACTCTTAAGATATGATGTGTGATTCTTCCTTCCAGCTCTATGGTTTGTCCTTGTAAAAAAATAATGAAGAAAAGTTGGTTTACATCAACTTAAGATAAATAAAAACCTTCAGTTGATACATTTGTCCATTGCCATTTCTTGTGTGTTAGATAATGTATTGGTGTTGTTAAGAATAGATTTACATTGAGCACATCTTTGAGTTAGAGGTCTGACTATGAATATCTCAGAGAATTATCATTTATCAAAAAGCTTAGAGGACAGTATTTTCCCCATCAAATTATTAAGCTTTTGCTTGGATGTTTATTTGAAAACAAAAATAAAAACTTAACTATATGTATTTTTTCAAATTTTAATATCTATCAATGAGTTTAGGCAAGTTACCTAGACAGTCAATGGCAGCTGCAAGCGAAGGCAGTAGGAGATAATGACAACCCTGTGAGCTGCCACCATTATACAGTCTGGGAATCTCAATTTCCAAAAAGCTTTGTTATCTTAACTTTGTTTTTGAAAAGCTAAGAGGAAAGTATTTTCTCCATAAAAAATTGCTATGCTATGGACTGGATGTTCATTTGAAAACAAAAATAAAAACTTAACATTCTTTAAATTTTAGTATCTACAGATGAGAGGCAGCTGTAGGCAAGGGCAGTAGGGAATCGTAACAACCCTGTGAGCTGCCACCGTCATACAGTCTGGGAATCTCAACTCCCAGAAAGCTTTGTTGCAGCCTTTACTATTTCTTGTTTGTTGTTGAGTTTTTAAAGAGGAACCAAGAAAAGTACAAATCTTGCTGTTTACGGTAGCTGCGAATTTTGACTTACGTCACTTTTCACGCTTTGCATGCCAAACACTCGCGAGTGAGTACACTTCTTGTAAGGGAGGGGAGGGTTGATAATACCAACGCATGAGAATCACGTGTTCCACCATTCACGCTTGGATTTGCAAAATATGTCATTGACATGATTCACTTACAAAGGTATTTGAGCGGAAATATAAACACGCTGAATTAGACAAACACTTCCTACGAACCATGACGAATCTTAATCATCCAATATAAATGACATATTTGCTTTCAAAATCGCGCTCGGTCAGCTAATACAGACTCTTCGGTTTAAATGACTAGTGTGATGGTTCCAACGGACGGACGTGAAATGTCGGAGGAAAATTGCCATACGGGAAATGATGTTCTCAAAGGTGACCACGTAAAGCTTGAAGTGGTAAGTAATATTAAAAGAGTGGTGTTCTTGTAGTGATATAATCCTTTTATAAGTTTCAATATGTCCAATATTGCTTTTAAGAGTTTGCGGCTAATTTGAAGCCCTCCGATGGTGAAATTTAGCCGATGCTATCTGTCATTACAATATTTGCTCATTTGCGTCCTTTATCACGAAACAAAAATATCGTCGCCCGTTGGTAAGATGTTTGTTAAAACACAGTGTCGCGTATGACAAAGTGTACTAAATTCAATTAATTCGTTGGTGCGTGTTCTCTTCATTCAATCAAAAGGACGATGTCGAACTAGGATCTCGCAAGACATCTGCCCGATGGAAACTTCAACACAAACGACAAGTATTAAATCAGAAAATATTCAAGCAGACAAAATTACGAGATGGTGCTGAAAATTTGATGAAAGCTCTCAGGTAAGTTACACTTTACGTGAAACTTATTTTAGGTTTTTGCCTCCCATATAGTGTATAAAAGTGCATCAGATAGACTCATTTTTATCTGAAGTTCACTCTCCGATCTACTGTTCGTGTAGCATTCCTCCTCCATAATTTTCTTTAGTTTTCTACTAATTGACTTGTGTGTTTCATAATCCGTTAAATATATAACAATGACAATATTGTAAGCCTTTTTTCTAGAAAGAGTCAACCGCAGCGTGCAAAATTGATTAAGCTCACAGAATGCAGATTCTGTAACAACTTGATCAAGTGAATTACGGCATCTATTTAATATTATAATTTAAGACTTTCAATTTAGTCATGTAAATTACATTAACAACAATAATACTGATCCATGCGATATATTTAATTCAATTATTTCACATTGCGTCATGAGCCACAGACTGAGAAATAAATAATCCTCTCAACGGCTTTAATCCGTTGAAGTATGAAAGATTTAATGAAAATTTCAAGTATGTGTTTTGATGGTATATCTTTTTCTCTGTAGTTTCTTTCCTTGGTATTACTTAATGTTTGATTTCATAGTCCACAAATAATTTTAATAAAATTATAAGGCAATAAAATTAATATTGAGGATTAAAGCCCTGTTCAAATGGTCATCATAGTTGGCTATTGTAGTCATTTTACCATTTGCCATTTCAGTTTGAGCCCCTTTTTGGCAATACTTCTGACTGGAAAACTATCATTCACTATCATCTGCTTGTTCAAATGGCAAAAACTATCATCAACTATGATGTGGAATTTGAACATGTCCAAACTACCTGATAGTTGATGATAAGTTGATAGTTGATAGTTGATGATAAACGATGATAGTGCATAAACGTGCATGAACGTGCATAAACGTGCATGAACCGCGTGATAGTTGAAACTATCATCAACTCTCATGACAGTTTGTATCAGGTGTAATTATGGTCTGATTTGACCTTTGCTTGGTCTGAGTGTAGTGCCATAAAATGAAAATAAGATGAAAAGAGTTTTGTTTTTATGTGAGATAAAAATAAACTGTAACAATATTTATATACCAGTCTACTGTGATATTAGCAATCAAAAACTTATTAGCAAACCAATTTTCATTTCCAGTGTAAAAATGTAAGCTATTATAGTCATGACCCACACGTTACAAAAAAAATGTTTACCGGTAATCTGAAATAAACTTAAAGTGAAAATTCAATTTGAAAAAGAGGAAAAATCCTGATGAAATATTTGTTTTTCTTCAAATCTTTCTCTGGAAACTTATAAAAAATGCCTGTGTGTAAATTTTCAGTTTTCAGGCATCTACTGTTATAGTCATGTCTTTAGAGACAATCTGGCACTCGAAGAATGGATTAATTTAAGTAACAGAGGTTCATGAGTATGTGCTTATTGATTGCAACTAGTTCCTCCTCTTCAGAAAAAAGGTAAAAAAAATGATTGTAGAATTCTTAGGGTGCAGAACTCTGGAAGTAAGGCATACTAATTTTTTTTTCACTGACCCTTTTTACTCATGTGACAGTCTTCAGTCTTCATGTGAAAACAGGGACTACTCATAGTCTAGCATATATGGATTTTCTTTGATCTACTCTTTGTTTTCTTTTATGTTTAAACACGTTTTCTGTTTTCCTTTATTACAACTATAATCTTAATATAAAATAGAATAAGAAAATAGGAGAAAATGATGGATGGTTATGAGGCAAGTAAACCTCTCCCATTAAATCACACATTGATCTTCAATTAAAGGCTTTGATTTGCCTCTTCTTAAACTGTCAGCCCTTATGTATATATATATATATTTGTTTTTTTTTTTAAGGATAACAAATGATCGCAAAACAAAGCTTGCTGCCAAAACAGAGTTGAGTTTTGCTAATTCCCAGTTGGACTTGTTGAAAGAAGAACTGGAAGGAATCAACAGCACGTTGGATGTTTATCAGTTTGACAGGTGAATTCTCAAATTCATCAGTTTAAGTCTTTTGGGTCTGTTTTAGAGAGAAATTTGTTCATTTATTTGTTATTGGGACAGTTGAGTCCTTGCTTTCTTATAAGGAGTTGGAAAAGGAAAATTCCTGTATGCAAGTCAGAGAAAAAGATGATAAAATCTCAGTTCAATCTTTGGAAAGATGGTTGTGTGATCTGCGAATAAAATTACTTTTTCTCCAACAGACAAAACTGAATCATTAATGAAAGCCAAGTTGGGGCGATTTCCCTAGGCTTGGTGCAGATTTGACCATCTTTTATGCCTTTCTTTCATTTCCCAAAACTTGATACCAGTATTATTTATATAGCTAGGTAGCAATACTTCTGTTTGTTCATTTGTTATTCATTTTTTACTGGTGTTGTTTTGATATGTAATAAAGATCTGTAGAGCACCAGATTCCTTTGATTGCTGTTGGTCTCAGGGAAACAAAAGAACTCGATTTTAAATCACAGTTTAAGGTATGCAGGTTTCTTTTCTACTCTGAATACATTTAGTTTGAGCCGGGTACAGTAAATGTTTCAAACAATCTCTTGACCTAAATCCTTTTTATTATCAGGATAGACATCAAGGAGGGGTTTAGAGTTAACTTTAACTGAAATCCTAGCTTAAATTCTTGGATTATACACCTTTTCCTCTTAGCAAGCAGACAAATGGAGGGTTTACATCTAGGAGGGGGGGAGGGCTTAAATCACTTAATGTGATGAAGATACAAAATAACATGCTCACTACAGGTAGTGTTCAGCATCACTAGGTATTAAAAAGGTAACCAGTCGTATTGTGCTATATATTTTCAGGATTTCATTTTGGATCACTATAGTGAAACTCCGGAAAATTTTGAGGGGGAGCTTGAGTTATTTGAGAATCTAAGAAAGGTTTGTCAAATTAATAAGTTAGCTGCATGCACACAATCGATAAAAATTATGGTGGTGCCTTGGCACCAAGACTTTGGTTCATCTGTGTATTTTGTCCTCATAACTGAAGATGAAATTATTTTGAGTGTTTTCCAAACATGTTGAGCAAAACATACTCATTCCTAGATGCTTAGACTGTAAATGAAAAGAGATTATATTTGAAAAAAAAATTTATATATATTATTTCTCAAGGAATGCAACTGTCAAACATTAATTCGAATAAAAGGTTTTTTAAATGTTATTCTTTCTTCAACTAATAGCTTATTGCTGTCATTTAGACCTTATTTCCTGTTTCTTTTTAAAAATTTATCTTTTTGGCTATACCACCAAAGAAAGCATTTGTGACTTAGAGTCTTGCCACTGTACATTTTTAAATAGGAAGCTGTGAACAAAGCTAACAGAGATGAAAATGGCATTCATTCTTTGTTCAAGTACTACAACCAACTCTATTTTGTGGAAAAGAAATTCTTTCCCAATGGGAAGCACTATACAGTGTCAGTTTATTTTCACTGGTAAGTTTGAAGGTATTTGTGTGTAGAGTACCTTCAGTTATTAAACAAAAATTAGGGTGATTGTATTAGAGGCAAGTTGGCAGAAAAAGGGAAGGAAATTAATGTTCTAGAGGAATTATTTTTCATTATAAAGGGAAATTAGAACAATCTAAACCAAGAAGCTTGACTAGAAAAATTTATTTTTAACACTGATTAGTAAGAAAGGAAAGGACAAGACTGCACTTGATACAGTATTTGTCTTGGTGTCTCTTAATCTAGCTGTTAAAGAAAGGAATCTCATCAATGTGAGAACTCTTTCCAGTTTTCTTATATGACTAGGCTATAAGCAGACGTCAAACCTTTCAAAATTATAGTACTTTTTCACTACAAAATTGTTGCAAAATTGTTGAGAAACTGAAGTGAAATGAAAAGAAATAAAGGTTATGGAATTAAATGATCTGCGTGTTAATTAAAATGTGAAAATCATTGTCAATGTTATTGTAAGTTATAATTATGATAATAACTAAATAAAATAACATACAATTATGATTACTTCATAATTATATTGGCTCTCTCTATGGAAGGTTTGATACCACAACTGGTTTACCAAAAATACAAAGATCTGTTGCATTTGAAAAGGTATGGACACCTTACTGGCAAAACTGTATGTTGTTGTATACGCTACTTTGGGTTTAATGAAATTTTAATTGAAATTGTTTTGATATTACTAATTTTACAAACATTAACTTTGTAGGCCAGTGTGCTTTTCAACATTGCTGCCATCTGGAGTCAAATTGGTGCAAAGCAAGTAAGTTAAGATAGATATAATACCATATTTCTTGGAATACATGCCCATGCTGTAATAGGTGTCCTCCCCTGCATAAGTGCCCACCCTCTAGGCCAAAATGTCCAACAAGTGCCCCCTTGAATAAGCACCCCCCTTCTACTCACTCACTTTCTTAGATGGTAGGAATATAAGGAAAACCTTTTTCTACTGCCACTTATTCATACAGTGGAGGCGCGGTGGCCTCATGGTTAGTGCACTCAACTCTGGATCAAGTAGTCCAGGTTCGAGCCCTGGCCGTGGTCATTGTGTTGTGTTCTTAGGCAAGACACTTTACTCTCACAGCGCTTCTCTTCACCCAGGTGTACAAATGGGTACCAGCAAGTATGCTGGGGATAACCCTGCAATGGACTAGCATCCCATCTAGGGGGGAGTAGCAATACTCCTAGCTGCTTCATGCTAAGGAAACCAGAGTTAAGTGCTGACCCCATGGGCCACTTGGGCCTGTATAAAGGCTTTACTTTTTACTTTATTCATGCAGTAATTATTTAAACATTAAGTACAGCAGAATCAGTATATAAAAGAACAATAAATGCTCTCCTCAATTAAGCACCCTCCTTCCAATAAGCACCCCTACTTTAAGATGAAATTTTTCAACAAGTGCCTGGACATCTATTCAAGGAAAAATGGAAGTTGTAATATTTTGATAGAGTGAGCTTATTTGGGTATTCTCAGCCCAGTTTGTATGTATGCTCCTAAGTTCTTTGTTGTGTGCCATATTGTCATCTTCCAATGACCCTGTAATTTACCATAAGCTTTTGAGATTCCTTTTGGTCTTGTGCAGTGTTTTTGTTTTTCTTTTGGTTTTGATACATTGTGTGTGCCCCACTGATAAGGTTGGCTATGTAGTGATGGAATATCTCTTTTGGATAGGGACACGCCTTTATGTATAGCTGTGGTTAGGGTGGGAAAAGGAGTATGATTCTGTTGTTCAGTTTATTTTCTTTTTTCCTGAGGATGTGCTGTGAAAGTGGTGTTGTTGTTTTATTAGCAAGATGAGATGTCCATGTTTTACTCTCTCAAAGATTTCTTCTTTCAAGATAAAATCTAGTTGCTTGATAATTAGGTGTTAGCCAAGCTGTTATGTCTGTCTTTCAGCTTCTTGGCTAATCAAACTTCATAAACATATTCTGATCAAATTTGAAATTCTCGATGGAATTTGTGATTTAGAATCCACTGCATTATTCATTAACTAAAGTCCTAAAAATATAAGCATTAAAAATGAAGAGGTATTCCTTGCAGGACAGAAGAACAGAGGCAGGACTCAAAGAGGCAATTGATGCTTTTCAGAAAGCTGCAGGTAACCATACTTAGCTACAAACCAGCTGGGTTTTTCATATCTGCTGGTCTACAGCTCTAGATTTGTCAGACTTGCTTCATATTCTTCAAAAAGTAAAATAGAAACTTGAGGTGGGTGTGGGGGAATTTCCTTTTGAACTCTCCGACCTTTACCTTTCCGACTTTCTGAAATGTTGTACAGATCATTCAAGAGGCCTGTAAGATGACCAATGGCAGCATAAAATGAATTTCTTATCATTCATTTGCAACTTCACGGTAGATTTGTTTTTGAGAAGTACAGTAATATTACTAATAGCTAATGAATCAAAATGAAACAGGCAGGGTGTCACTGAGTGTCAGTGTGTCATGCACACCAGAGAAACCAGCTTTTTAGGGTTGTATTATCAAATGGTCTTTGCCGTGAATATGAATATAATTTTGAATATGAAAGCGATGTTTGCAGTAATGAACACTTCCAAAGCAGAAGTAAAAATAAGGCCTGAAAAAAATTCCGGCCTGTATGGGATATGAATCCATGGCCTTTGCAATACCAGTGCAGTGTTCTACCAACTGAGCCAACAAGCCAACCGGGAGCTAGTCATTACGTTTGTTTCCCAATAAACCAGGGAATTGATGAATCAAGGACTGTGAATATTTGAAAATCATGTAATTATCTGAACTTTGGATAAAGAAGTGAATATGAAAGCGACCTTCACAGTAATGAACACTACTTAATGAGCAGTAGTAAAAATTAGGCCTGAAAAGATTCTGGCTGGTATGGGATTTGAACCCATGACCTCTGTGATACCAGAGCAGTGCTCTTAACTAGCTAAGCTAACAAGCCAACTGTGAGCTGATCATTTTTTCGTTTCATATTAAACCTGTGAAGTGATGAATCAATGACTGTGAATGTATGAAAATTATGTGAACTACAGTTTAAGAATTGAATATGATTTCAAGCGATCTTAGTAGTAATGATATATTTTGGATGGTAATAATTTATTTTTGCTTTATTATTCAGGTGTATTTAAATTTATCAAAGACAGTTTTATCAACTCACCAAGTGCTGACCTAACACCAGAAGTGATGAACATGTTGATGGCTGTCATGCTGGTGAGTTTAAAGTTCAAGTGAGCCATGTTTTAAACAAGCAGGGAATAGGTAGTGAAATGTGTAGAATGTATTTTTCTTTTTTTGTGGATCTTGCAACATGTAAGAGGATCATTTTACTTTAAGGCTTGCGAAATTTGATTTTAACTGGACAATAACAAAGTCAGTGGTACAAATTACTTTAAAAAAGAGAGCTCAAGGATTTGAGGAAGGCTTGTCTTTGCAACCACCAATGAAATCCGTCTCCATTTTGGTCCTGGTTGAAGTTAGTACTCCTATAAAGGGATGGAATTTTTATGTCTGACAAACAGTATTTTATTTCACAACTCTTCATTGATATTCAGTTGAAACAGGGTGAGGGAAAAAGGATTGATCCATGTGCTAAGCTAAGCTGTTCCAGTTTGGCTGAGGCAGGGTTGTGTCCTGTGGTACCAACCATGAAATAAGAATGGGAAGGTGGGCCATTCTCATAGTGCACTCTGCCAGAAAACTGAGTATTAGAGAAATGGATGAATCTCCTCAATATTTATTAAAGACCTCTAATGTAACCAATATGAAAAATGTTCACTCAGTCTAGAAAACTGCATTTTTATCTTGTATTTCAAATTTGTTGATCATTATTAGTTCTGTAAATAGTAGGGCTTTCATTGAGACATTTAGAAAAATCTGCATAGTAGCTGTAGAGCTATCTGCTCTCCAATGTTTAATGAACATCCTGGAATAGTTTACAACATTGTTTAATATCTTTAAGTTAATAATTTATCTATTTCTCAGGCTCAGGCACAAGTGTGTATATGGGAAGAACTAATTCTTGGTGGAATTAAAGATAACTTGTCTGACAAGATAGTTGCTGCTCAGGAATGTGCCCAGGTAAGAATATGAGTCTGATCTAATGAATAACCTTTTTTCATGGAACAGAATTTTATTCATTACATCAAAATGATGATAACTGGCATGTGGCCATAGAAATATGTGACAGAAACTTGCTCTGATTAAAATCTGAAGTGATTTTAAAACATGTTGCCAATCCTCATGTGAAGTCTTGGTACCTGGTTGTGTTTCATTAGTTGTACATAAATTTGAAACTGAATGAAAGTTTAATTTTCCCCTTACTTAATTCCTAACATGAGTGAAATAGAGAGTTGTATAATTAGATATATTATAGAGAAAAGCTAACTGATTTTTTCCTATATATTCTGTAGATTATCATCAGCTTCGTCAGTTGTCAGCTCAAAATATAGCTGACATGGTATAATATAAATCAGTTGTAAAACTTGATGTATAATTTAGCAATATGTGCCCTACAGAACCTATAGAAAACTCTGAAATAGTTAAGTATTGCAAATTTTGAAAGAGGTGTCCTGTGAGGAAAATTGATGTTTTTTTTTTCCCATGTCAGGTTAGTCAGAGTTACAAAAAGGTTCGGATCCTGATGAATTCTGGAATCTGCTTGAGTTGTGTTCCAATTTCCTGGAGAAACATGATGTCTGTGAGTATGAAACAAATAAAGTGCTTTTCTATGAAGTGTCATTAAACCAGAACAAATGGAAAGTCATCACAACAGGCTTTGAGGATGATGGAAAACATGGCAGGGAATCATTGGAAACTTGTTGTGAAAACAAGTAAACTGCCTAAAGTGCAAAGGACCTTAATTAATAAATGTCCAAGTCACAGTTGGTTTTACATTTGGTTGGTTGCGAGAGTGGTGCCAGTTTTCTGGACCAATCATAGAGTATAGTTGAATAAAACCTGTGCAGTCCTAGATAATTTTCCACACTCAGTTGGAAATTTGTCCCATTTACATAAGTATGTTTAGCATAATGCAAGCTATGATTACTCTGAATACTTGGTTAGCTTATATGGTCAGGTTCTGTCTTGGAATTCATGTTTCTTCTTCTGAAACAAATAGAGACGATATTTATTGTCTTTTCAATCTCCCTTCAGATAATGTGTCTTCACTATGAAGCTCTCTCACATTACTATGTTGCTGAGGGAATACTTAAAAGTGTGGGTAAGTACATCAAAGGCTGCTAAGTTCTTTTTTTATAGTTTAATGTACTGGTAAATCTAAAGGTGACTCAACTTCAATAAGAGTTGAAAAGCAAATGTCAGACAATGTACATGAATGTGCTTTCTCTTTTAAGTCATCAACAATAAACAAGAGGTGGCAGGAGTCCAAGTACAGAGGATAACCTTCAGTTAGAAATTCTGTGAATAGCTTACTGGTACTCCATGGTGCCAGTATTCCTTACTTCTCATGTTGTTGTGCATATTTCTGGATTACTTGTGTTTGGGTTTTTCAAACAAAGCTGTGATTAAAATCCTAACTGATTCAATGTATTTTTTTTTAATAGAGAATCAGAGTGTCACTAAGAAGGACGAAGTTATTCTTTCATCGTTAGGCACATCTCAGGCTAACAGCAATGAAAACAAGAAAAAGCATGGTGAGTATATTTACATATTAGACTTCTTGCATCACTTGTAATGAGGTACTACATTGACAAAGTGTGGAGGGAAAATTACAGGCTTAAGAGATTAGCTTGAGAACACTGCACACCCACCTCACATTCTTTCTCATCCCATTTTTCTTAAAGCTCTAGTTTTGTAAGCCAAGTCATTGTGAGTTAATTTTTTTGTATTTACAGTGATGATAGAGTTGGTGGGGGGATAAAGTGGCAGTGGGGGAGGGGGGGGTGAACAGGATCATAACAAAGTTTGACCCTTTGCTGTTTGGATATGAGGAATTTTGGTTTATTTTGTCAATAATAAAATCAAATTTTTCCTGCAAGTGGTGTTCAGTTTAGAAAATGCAACTTACTTTAATTGAAAGTTGAAGTTTTCTTGTCTTTGCAGCCACTTACTGTTTCCAAATTTTGGTTCAATATTTACACCGTCTATTTTGTTTAAAGTAATATTATGATGACTTAAAGGATAAGTTACCCTCTTATAATTAAAAACAATTAACATTTTTTTGTCATTTGTACACGCAATTATTATGGCATAAGATTTTGATGACCAAAAACATTCAATCCCTCCAAATGGAGTTGTAATCCTTCATTTATATTCATATTTGAATCACCCAAAACAGAACTGTAGTTCTCAATTCCTTACACCATTCAGTTTTAACAATCTTCAGGTATTCGCTCCATTCTTATCTAATAAAATACCACAACTTTTTCATTTGCTGTTTTTGGTTTGATGTTAAAAAGTTTTTGTTTCACCTAGCCAAAGCTCATCTCCATTCTGCACTTAAATCACATGAGGAAGCCATGAAAACTAGGCAGATCTGTCGCCACTGTAGAAAAATAGCAGGTCTACAAAAGGTACATGTCATCTTTTTTTGAGAGAGCATAGTGATCAATTACCTATTATGAAATATTCAAATTCTTAAGCTAGTCTATAAGACCATTCATTGTATTGCAGGAGATTAAATAAACAGGTAATTTTATTGTGCATTTCTCAGGCTCTTCAAGATGCACGGATCAAAACCACAGAAACGTTAGTTGCTATGGAAGAAGAAGATGACTTTGATGACCCCCTAACACCAATCCCTGTTAAAGGTCAGCTTGGGAATCTTATAAATGTAATCCTTTTTACCCTGTTGATGTCTGAAAACCCCCAAATGCTCTGTAATGTTTTATTTCAATTGTGATACCACCTCTCTTACCAGAAAGGCATGTAGTTAATTTTTTAATATGCAGATACCTTAGTAATAGATGAAAAATGGGTTTCCTTTATTGAAAAACAATAAAGAATATTGGAAGTTGAAATGAAATGTTGTGGAAGAGTTCCCGGTTGTCCCAGTAAAATTAACTTAAATTATGAAATTTGTGGACAATCTTACATAACGCAAGGAAAGTGAGCAAGAGACCACGCTTGTGGTAAAGTTTTACTGTAATGGAATATTGATTTGGCGACATTCTCTATTAACCTTTTGACCCTTAAGAGTGACCTCTAAGTCCTCCTTTCAATATCATCCCTGAACCAAACATTAAGGTCACAAGAATAAATAAAAAGGTTAACCAACTTAAGAAGCTCTTGACTGTGAAACAAATTCTTCTTGTCAGAACCTTAGGAAATGTATAGAGAACTGTATGGAGAATATGCATATTGATGTTAGGGTGTATAAAGTTAAGATAACCAAACAAGAATCCATCTTTACCTTCTCTAGTGCCATTTCTTTTTTTTTTCTTTTTTTTTTTTTTTTTTTTGGTAGCAAAATTTGGCATAAGTTATATCTTATAATATTTATGTATTTTTTTATTCCCTCAGCTTTAGCAAAATATAATGCAGCAAGTATTGCTCCTAATTTTAGCCAAGCATCTGTGGAAGACTTGTTTCATAGGCTGGTGAGATATTAACACTCCATATACATTTGTACCTTACTTAAGCACATTTTTATTCAATGTTCCAAAACCAAACCAAGGTACAGAACTAAAATATAATGCAAAATAAGAGGAATTTTTTTTTCAAATTTCACATAGGGCTGGAGAATATGATGATATGTTTTGAAGTTGTTATGAGATGAGGTCAATCAAAGAGAGAAACAAAACATTCAATTGAAAAGTTTTTCCTTTGCAATTTTAGTACTTTCTAGATAATTTTATTATATTTTAGGAATTGATCAGTTAGAGAATGACCTGGTAAAACCTTTTTTAATGCTTCTAGGGTCCTGTGCATGTGTTTAATGCTAATTTAGAGTGGAGTGCACCAAAAAGTGTTGAACTAAAGAAAACTGATAAAGGATATGGCTTCAGTGTGATTGGCTCTGCTCCAGTTATTATTCAGAGTGTAGAGGAGCAAGGACCTGCTAAGGTTTGTTTATCTGTAATTCTTCTATCTGTAATTTTGTTGTTGTCTTTGTAGAAGTCTTTTCTGCTTCCTTTTAGCTAAGGGAGAGAAGCAAGAGCTATGAAGGAATCCCATAAAGGCATAAGGAGGAGGGAGCTCCTTTCTTTAAAAAAGTAGGATCCCCTTTGCTCTTAATTTTTTTGTTTCCTTTAGCTTCATGGTTCTGCTGTTTAGCTAAAAGGAATAATATTAGACTGCTACACAGGTTGCAGAAGGCTTGTCTTCCATTTTATTCTCTGTACCTGTGTATTTAGGCATCATGCATATGTCAGATGATTATGATATGACTTGTGTCATAAATGAAATCAAAGAGGTGAATGAAACTTAACAAGAATTAAAAGTTAAACCTCTCAAGTGAAAATTTATTTTTTCATCCATTTGGGCTGAATTTTCACTGACATAAATGATGAGGTCCGTTAGTATTTTTGTAAACTTCCCTGTGCTCATTTTCAGGATGCTGGAATTCAAGCAGGAGACATAATCACAGCTGTAAATCTGACTGACTGTAAATGGGGTGATCATTCTTCTGTTGTGTCCTTAATTCGTAATACGGAGACTTGTGTCACACTTGAGACTGTAACACCCTCCTCTCTGCAGCACATTGCTTCATTGTACAATGTCAAGCTAACAAGGGATGATCAAGTGGTAACCAGTGACTATAGTGGCTCCATAGGTAGTCACAGCTCAGGATCTTCCAGAAACAGTACGCTCAATGGGTTAAGCTCTCAAGAAAGCAGTAGCCCTCCTGGATCAACAAGATCTGATACTCCTGTTCGACACAGTGTGCTACTGGACATGGGCAATGAGTCAATTTTGTGGTAGTTGACTGGAAATAAAACCAACTGGCAATACTGTGGCACATGCCCTTTGCTTCAGCTCAGAAAGTGCAATCATCTGAGCCTGATTTCAATCATTCTAGAGCAAGTGCTTTTCAACTGAATGTTGTAAGACCAAAATAAAAACCAAAACTGAAGTAATCTTAACAGCCAATCAGAACAAAGAAAAATATCACAAGAAGCTACTGAGAACTCAGAGGGAAAACAAGGAAGCTCCTTTTCGAAAGTAATTCAGAATACAAAGTGGCCACTTGTTGTAGTTTTGCATCTGATTGGCTGAGGGTGGCATGTTTTCTAGACCAATCATAGAGGGTAGTGGAACAAAAGCAATGTGATCTGGGATTTTCTTCAACATTCAATTGAAATTTACTCTGACATGAATTTTCATAGTGTATAGTGACTGTTTAGTAACAGTGTGATTATTTTTCTAAAATGTGCTTCAACATGTATGCAATGGGGGTTGGGAAGCAAGTCAGTGGTGAAATGCTTCAAGTATTGGACTCCTATGTCTGGGGTCAGGTGTGATTGCTGGAATTGTCATTATCAATGGGCTAACTATGTGCTTGATCCTGGCCCATGCTTTGAGTTTTTCTTTGAGGGAGCTCACCAATTTTTCCTATCTACGAGAGAAATCCTCAAAATCCAATTTGATCAGAAATGGTGGATAAAGAGCCAAAGGCAAAAAACGCTGCTATTTAATCTGGTTATTTTATTATATATTATTTATTTATCTTGTTAATGTGGGATATCAAACAATTCAACTAATTAGTGAGGGAAATAAGCTGGACAGTGGCTTGTTAAAGACCAGGCTTGGCCTCTGAGGACATTTATAGATTTCATGTAGTGTGTCTTTAATTGTGGGGCAAAGGTTTAGGTTGACTAGGAGGGAAGACACAAGGTTAGCACATGACAGCATGGACACTCCTTTTTGTCCATACCATCCTTATGTTCTTCTTCATGGAATTGGTGCTCATTTGACATTAATGGAAAAATCTTACAACATGTAGTCTTTGTCGAAGCCCACATCTATGAAGGAAGGGTCTTCTTCAGAACTCTTTCTTTGTCTGGTTGGTTTTTTTGCTTCTTTGCTTTGCTATCATAGTTATTTTTGGAAAAAATTATTTTATAAATCATATTGTTTTCAACAAACATAAGATAAGTCATTTAACAAGAATTGCTCTCTTTTTGAAGGATATTATTTGAAATTGGTTTGCTTCAATCGTGGATTGCAAAATAAATATTTTGTCTTTGTTAAAATATAGATATTTATCACAGATAATCTATAATATTTTTATATAAAACTTGTATTAATCGTGAAGTGTTAAAACATTATGAACGTAAATAAATATTCTTGGTCCAAAGGAATTTAACAGTTAACTGTATTGAGCCAATATTTACGAAGATTCAGTAATTATTCATTCTCTTTTCCTTGGTGTTTGCTTCTCTCAACCTTCGTTGACAAGAGAGAGAGTCCTGAGGCTTCTTTGGCATAAAGATAAGTAAAACTCAAATGTTACAAGCCTGGCACTCAAATATATTCTGTTTGTCCCAGGTTTTCAGGGTCTTGCATTGTTTGTTTAAAAATGTCAAGCAACTCATAAATTATGTAGTGGTGTTCTTTTTTTGAAATACCTTAACTTGGTTTCTATAAAATTGCCATGTTCTCCCCTTTAGCTAAAAGATTTGGATCTCCAGCTTATGTTTGCGATCATAATTACAATCAATGAATTGAAAATATCAAGTGTGGATAAAGTTAGGCTATTACATGGACATTCAATGGAGAGTAATTTTTTTTTTTTATAAAAATCCTGTTGCCAACACTTAAAAAACACATTTGTGTCTCTGCTGATACAAAAAAAATGGAGTATCTTGCACAAGTTTCAGAAATTAGACCTGGATAAAGTAGTTGATATTAATTTCTTGGCCTGTTCATATGAAGTATTTAATTCAAAGAATTATGGATTTTAAAATCTGAAAGGGGTGAAGTTTTTTTTTTAATATACCCTTGAAAACAAAGCTATGAATGAGAGATCTGCCAGATACACAGAGTGTAAATGAAACAATTTGCACAACAGGAGTTATCTTCAAGTAGCTTTTAGAGGCATCTTGGAATATGAAAGTCATTAAGACCACAGGCCATGTAAACAAAATGCTATGCAATTTAGATTGACCATATAGATAAAACTGAAGGAGTCTTCTTTATTCAATATATTTCAAAAAATGCGCAAGTTCTTCAGAAATATATTTGAAAGGAAATTTTCATGAGGAGTTGAACTATTTGTACATATTGATTGTTCCTTTCTTTTGATCCATTAAAGGGCAACAAATAGATGCAATCACTATAACTGAGAAAAATGTTTGCTTTATTATGTAAAACAAATAGATTCCAAGTAGTGTTTCTTTTCAGTAACAGATCAGAGAAGACATCAAAATGTGGTGAGAACATCAGTAACACATGGCTGTGCCTTATGTACAACTTTTTTGTTTTTATCACATTTTCACATCATCTGTGATCTATTACTGAACACATGCTCAGCAACATGGAATCAGTTTGTTAAATTTACAGCTTTATTCATACTAACTAACTCAAAGAGTTGTAAAACATGATCACCAATAGTAGAGAGTATATAGCTTTGAACAAAGATAAGTACACTTTGAACACCTCTTTATGATGTTATTTATGTCAGACTACTACTAAGATATAAGCTGTCAAACCAGCTATCTACGAGAAATTATATTGTAGGCTTTATTAAACACACTCTTTGATTGGTTCTTACTTAGACAACAACACCTTTGACAACTTTTTGTCTCTTTACTATGGAAAACAAATAGATTCCGTGTTGCTGAGCATCTGTTAAGTAATTAATCAGCAAAGATGCTAAATTGTGTTTACCCTTAAACTCATGAGTGACCAAGAGGACAAGTGTTGAGAATAAAGAAAAATATCAATTAGGGGATTATAAGTTGATTCCATCCCAAATTCTCCAAACTAACATCACAAGAACTGTATGGCAGACAGTAAGAAGAATTACTAATGAGATCTTGAGAGTTAAAGGGTTAAGAACATCAATGCCACTCAGCTGTGCCTTATGTGCCACTTTTTTTTTTACCTCATTTTTACATCATGTGATTTATTACTGAACACACGTGTCCACAAGGAACCTATTTGTTAAATAGACAGCTTTATTCATACCAACTAACTCAAAGAATTTTAAAACATGATTGACAAAAGTAAAAGTATATAGCTGTGAACAAATACAAAGTAACACCACTGTGAGCACTTTGAACCCCTTATCATGGTGTCATGTGTTGATCAATTTGATACGTCAACATGCCCCCTTTCAGGCAACCCCCCGGAATTTGAACTTTTAAAGATTTGTTGTTTCAATAACCTGACTCCTAGGGCCAAAATTGTATTCAAAAGCTCTGAATTGGGTCTTAAATTTTTGTAAAATCTTGTAGACTTTTTCTTATGAACCATCTACTTGCTAGAGTAAACTTTTAACTTTAAATTATACCTCCATTTAAAGATAAAACACGGTTATTCTGCTGAAGAGAATTGACAGTTTCAGTTCAGATTCCCCACCCAGGCCAGGCAAGGTTCAAAATTCCCCACTCTGCTCTCACAGACAACATGTGGGTTGCCCAGGGGGGGGGGGGATGTTGAAGCTTCAAATTGATCTGTGCATTATTTATGTCAAAATAATAATGAGAGAAAATTACAAAAAATATCCGGGTAATCAAAGGTATCATACCATATACTCTGCCATAAGCTATAATATGAAGTTATTGTGATAGATCTTGATGCCCTACTCGTGCAACAGCAACATAAAACTTCGTCTTGTCATTAATGTCATGCCAGCCTATTGGTCCACACTCACAATCGGCACAGGCTAAATATTTGATTGAATCCACAGTCATTGAAAAGCCAACATTTTCGAACGTAAACATATCTGATACCATCCAATGTTCTTGAAGGATTTCACCTTGATGTTCTTCAGCGCCAGCAAAGTCCTTCTTTTTCTGCATGAAAGGTAAGAATAGCTGTATAAAGAGAAATTAAACTGGTCGTTTGATCATGAATTGTAACTAACATAAATTCGATCGATTGCAGGGTTCAGTTTTAATTAAACACGGAATTATGAACTTCGAAGATTTAGTACCTCTCTTTGTTCGTGACTGGCCGCGCAAGGTCGCAGAACTTTTGATCCACACAACTTACAGACTACCCATTTCTTGTTCTTTCCATTCTCAATAATATCATCCATCGTCCTCTTTCAATGCTAAAAACTGGTTTCTTTCTTCCTATGTCTAAATGACTCAAGATCAGTACGAAAGGTCAGGGTCGAAAACTGCCAGGCGGATGACAGCGCGTGCAGATAAGCGAAGAGGGGCTGGAACCAATTTATGGTCAATTAAATTTTGTGAGGAGGAATGGTCCTGGGGACGAGGGTTTTAACAAAAAGTCGGGTTCAATAGATAACGAAAACATTCTAAAATCTATTTCATTCTTTATGAAAACCAGGTATAATTAATTTTGGAAGCTGCTCTATTATCAATCTTTGCGAGATTTCTTTCTGATTCGCTGCAGTGCAAGTTTTATCACAAGGTAACGTCTCAAGAATTCCCGGCGAGGTCTTTGAAACTTTAAGCGTAATTTTTGGATTACACTAGATATATTTTATTGAACACCAGCCTGTCTTACAAAATTATCCATTAAATTTAAAAAAAAATCCTTTATAAGAGGCGAAGCGGATAGCATTACGTAATTCCTATAATTAGTTCATCCTGGGTTGCTTAGTCACTGTTCCAGTGGTCACATAACAGCCTGTGTATGACGCATTTCTCAAGAAGAACCAATCACAAGACCGCTTTTCTGCGTCATCCACATTGAGGAGATGTCAAAGCTGGTAGACTATAATAGTTGAGTTGCAACATTTTACGTGACTAGTATTTCTCAGAGGTGCTGTAAGTAATCAGGAAAATGGCATCAGCTATAACGGAAGACGTCCGAGCAAACAATGATCGAAGGTACTGATAAGTTGCGTTTATTTATGAATCTGTAAAATAAAGATTTTCTTTCTACAACCTCTTTGTTTACATTTTGTAGTGTGGTTGCATCATCAGTGGAACACGAGAGATCAAGGTGCTGGTTTCAGAGAAGATGTTCATGGCGACCAACCTCTAAAAGTTTGCTGGAAGCAGCAGAAGCGAGAATTTGGAAATGTAAGTTTTCGAGGTTTTGATTCGCTCATAAGCAATAGTTATTCAAAACTAACCAGATATAGTAAAATGTTAGCAGTGCTCCTTGTCAGTTCCCGACGAGGGGTTCATCAAATTGTCCAACAGTAATCAGGTTCAGGCTCAACAGTGCCTGTGATGAGGGCTATCTTGAGTTTCGGGTTTTATGGAAAAACTCATGAGGATGGCATTAGAGGGTGACATTCTTCAAATTTTCTCCTGGTCAATAGGCCAATGCGTCTTCTCGATCGTGCAAAAAATAAAATAAAATAAAATAAAAACACGAACAAAACGCAACGAAATAAAACAAAAAAAACTGAAATGTGGCAAAAGGTGAGGTGAGATCAGCCCCATTGACCAGGTTCATTTGAGGAGATCTTTGGAGCGATGTGCTCATCATTTTAGATGTCGACACCATTTGACAAGGTTGATCAAATTAATGAATAAATATTTCGCACAACAGCGATTTTTGATTGACAACAGTAACCAAAAAATATTTATCATGATCTATACACTATATTTTTTTGGTAATGAAAAAATAAATTGCTATAGCCTTAAGTCATCTAAGTTAACATTATTTAACCATATGATTTTGTATCCATACAGTTGTCAAGTCTCGTTATGAGGGCAAGCATGTGCCAGTGGAAAACAATGAAAGGATATGGACCTTAAAGTTTAATCCTAATGCAACTAAAGTACCACTGGTGATGATTCACGGCTTTGGAGGAGGTGCTGGCCTGTGGGCACTGAACATTGATGCCTTAGCAAAACATAGGACAGTGTATGCAATTGATCTGTTAGGATTTGGCCGCAGCTCACGACCACAGCTGAGTGGAGACCCGCAAGAAGCTGAAGAACAATTTGTTACGTCTATTGAACAATGGCGGCAGGAAATTGGGTTGGAAAAGTTTGTTCTCCTTGGGCACAGCTTTGGCGGCTTTCTGGCAAGTTCATATACATTAAAACATCCTTCCAGAGTTCAGCATCTTATCTTAGCAGACTCTTGGGGCTTTTCAGAGAAACCAGCAGAATTACAGTACAATATTCCAACATGGGTGAAGGTTGTGGCAACTCTTATCCGCCCATTTAATCCGCTGGCAGGACTGCGAGCTGCAGGCCCGTGGGGTAAGTTTGAAAAATTTAACCCTTTTATTCCCACAATCTCATTAATAATTTTTTTTACCGTCTGCCATACAATTCTTATGATGCTAGTTCAGAGAAATTGGTATTAGATCAACTAATAATCTCCTGATTCATATTTTTTTTATTCTCATCACTTGTTTGCTGGATATTTTAAAGAGAAATTCTCTCTTGGTCACTCATGGGAGTTGAAGGGTTAAATTTTTTCTTATTGGTTACACATTTTATTATTACAAAAAAAATAATGGAAAGTGGGGGGAGGGTTGGGAGTGGGGAAAACTTCATTATTCATATACCTCCTGTAGGGTTTTTTTCAGTTTCAATCCCTCCAATTCAGAACTTTAATTTAGCTTCTTTCTACCCTTAAAACTTTATGGTATGATTTTTAGCAACCCATCTCAATTAGGAATTTCTTTTATATTAACAAAATCAATTTAATTGAAATGCTCTTGTCAGCAGAGTTCCCTTAAAATAACTGATTGCTTAAAATTGATTCTGAAAGTTACGATAATGTAATGGGTTTGAATTGTTTGAAATGTCATAGGTGGAAGTAGGAGTTTATTTGATTATAACATGTCTGGCCATAATAAAAATAAATGATACTACACACAAAAAATAGATTTAAAGTGATATGCAAGTTTTTTTTGTCTTGTAGGACCATCACTGGTGCAGAAATTTAGGCCTGACCTTCAAGGGAAATTTGCTAGTCTTCTAGAAGATGACACCATTTTCAACTACATTTACCACTGCAATGCTCAGAAACCAAGGTAAAAAAAAAGAATGGAATAATCAATTATGAAATGTAGCAAATGCCCTTCTCCTCCATTGAGCCCACTTCTCTAATGAGCCCCTCCCCCCTATAAACTCTCCTATCAAATTAGCCCCTCTCTCTAACCACCCTTCCCTTAAATACACCCTCCTCTCAAGTGCACCTCCCCAAAAAGTCTCCCTCTCCAAAAATCCCCTTTTCCAAATAGTGCTCCATTAGGAAGGTCCTGAAATAAATAAGCTCCACAGGCCCAGAGAGGTTTACAAGTGTCTTAACAAATGATAGTAAAATAAATAAATAATGGGATTTAGCAGAGGACATTCCATGAGGTGGCTCTTCTTGTCCGTTGTTTCCAGGTCAAATTAGAATTTATAATGCTAGTTTTTTTGTTTCTTTTTCAGTATGAGGAAATAAGTTTGTAAAAGTTGTCTCAGACAACAGGGCTGATTTTTATCTAAGTTAATATTGTTTAATTCTTTTCTTTTTTGTGTTGCAGTGGTGAAACAGCTTTCAAGAAGATGTCAGAGTTGTATGGCTGGGCAAAATTCCCCATGATTCACAGAATTGGTGAATTGGACAAAAATATTCCAATGACAATGATCCATGGCTCAGAGTCTTGGATTGATTGTTCACCCAGCTATCAAATTAAAAATAGTCGCAGTGGTTATGTTGATGTACAAGTGATTGTTGATGCTGGACACCATGTTTATGCAGATCAGCCAGAGGCATTTAACGTGGCTGTAAATAAAATTTGTCGCAAAGAGGATAAACTACTTTATGTGACCATTGACTGAACTAAAACTCGCAGCTTTTAAGCATGTAAAGAAATAGGGACATTATTGAGGTATCAGTTTATATATCTTTACTGATTGAACAATAATCAGGTCATTTCTATTTCAAGCTGACTTGATCAGTGTTGAATTTTTTGTGTCTAAAAACATAACACTAAGGTAAGCTTAGAAACATATCTATTGATCTTATTTTGACATTCATTCATTCCAATCTATTGGCTGGAAAATCATTGGATATTCTAAGGGGAATGAGGGTTTAAAAAACCAAACATTTAAAACTATTGCAACAATCAATTTGAAGCTTCAACATCCCCCTCCTCCCCCCCATGCACCCCATGAGCATTTGTCTGTTATCTGGGCCTGTAGGGTGGGGAATTCAGACCTTACCAGGCTGGGGTGGGTAATTTGAACTGGAAGTGTCAAGTCTTTCTAGTGAGAATACAAGTGTTTTATTGTAAATATGGTGAAGTTTAAAGGTAAAGAGCTGACTTCTTCAAATGTTCCAATGACTAGGGGGGCTGCCACAGAAAGGAGATGTTAAAGCTTTGAAGTGATTGATGCTTAAGCAGCTAACAAAATGATGGAATTTCCAAAGGTTTTGGGCTGGGGGGGGGGGGGGGGGGGGGGGGGGAGGAGGATTGAAACCAACAGCCAAATTGTGCATCATATTTATGTATGTATTAGGATACATTTCTTTTACTTCTGCGAAGTTGTTTTCTTCATTTCCCTGCAAATGTATGTCTAGACTCCCACTATTCATTTTAAACTATCCACATTATCGTTTAACTTGTAACATAACACGAATACTATAAAAAATGGTTCATAGAACCCTTGTATTTAAAATATTTATAGTATGTTGTTTTCAAAAAGTTATACTTCACTCACAAATCACCAACAGATTTTGAGTTGTTTAATTATATACAATTATTTACATAGAAAATAATCAGAAATATAATCAATAAAATTTTTTAACACATTTCAGACGTTATTTTTGTAATTTGATATTTCTCTCCATCATCTTGGTGCAAGCATTGTTCTTCACTAGATTCACTGGTCTTTTGCAATCTCCTTAGATGTGGAAACTGAGATCCCTCCAAATTACATCGTAATAAAACAATTGTGATTTAAAATTGGAACGAGAATGCTTATAAAATCTGGTCAGTCTGGAAAAAAAATTAGTTAGGTGACAGAAAAACGTAACAGGTACATATACCGAAAAACCCTGAGGACATGGACGAGCACCAACAACAAACTCACCTCACATGTGAGGCCAGGCCTGGGAATCGAACCCCTGGACAAGGCGGTGAGAGGCACCTTCCCTGCTCCTCATTGTTGTTTTGCACTGGACGGCTGGAAAATGTGCAAAGGTTGAAACTACACGTGCAGAGCTATTACCCTGCCGCTCATTTAATCTTTTGTTCCGCTACAACCCGTTGCTTGGGTTATCGTCGTGATTTCCAATTTTGAAAAGAAAATCGAACGCCTGATCGCAGGTCACAGAGATTGATCCGATTGAGTTTTATTAAAATAACGTGGTTAAAGACCGGGAGTTGGTGCAAAGGATTATTTAGCAAAGTGAAATTTAACAGCTGAAAACAGAGTTTGAATACCCGCCCATTTCAAGGGTCATTTTTACTGCGCATGTGTATTAGTGTTCGCGTGACGTAACAAAGATAAACAATATACAGTACATGTTTCAATGTCGGATATGTCAGACGCTGACCAACAGCTAATAAACAAAGAGAAGATGAAGAAAACGTGACCTGAACAACATCTCTTATAATAACACATGGAGGATACGAGAGATCAAAGGTAGAGTAATAATCAAGTGGTTGAAGTTCTTTTTTAATCCATAGAAGGCTTTCTGAAGCAGATTGAGAATATTTTGTTTTTCTCTTGAAGTGTTGGCGGGAATGAATCAAGCGCTGGCGCCTGCAGTTGGATTAGTAGTTGGTTTACGTGGTCCCCGACCTCAGAGAAGCTGTTAGAGGAAGCAGAGTCTCAAATATTACAAAGTGAGGGTTCAGTGATCATTATTTCAGCGAAACTTTATGATGTCGCGATCAAACGAGTGAAACATCGCGTGTATTCTATTGTCGCTTAAAAAGTTACGTCAGCGTTTTATTTATCTGTTTGTGTAGATTGTTCAAAGCCATCTCAAAGCTTTGACTAATTCATTCGCTTTACGGACTTCACAAAACTACGTACTGCAACATCCCTCATGTTTGAATTACTTCCGGGGTTTTTTCGTGCTGTACGTGTCCTGCCCTGCATAATAATTTCTATAACCATCTGACCTTGAACTGCCTTCATTACATCCGTGTGCCAAAACTTATTACGTAACTAGATTCACGCTAAGAACGGGAAAGCACACTCCCTTGCATTGGGCTCTCCTAAAAGGTCATACTAAGCACATTTCTACTAAAGATATAATTTTTCAATTTTATGATTACTGCATCATCCGTGGTAAATAAAACATGACAAACAAAGTGAAAGCGGGGCTATATTTAACACTGTCTTCCTGATGAAACTTTCTCATAGAAACCCAATCCCATTATGAAAGCCGATTTGTACCGTTGGAAAATGGACAGAGAATATGGACATTAAAGTTCAATCCAAAAGCTAGCAGAGTACCATTGGTCTTGGTTCATGGGTTTGGAGGAGGTGTTGGTCTTTGGGCATTAAATTTTGATGCCCTCTCCAAGAACAGGTCTGTTTACGCATTTGATGTGCTGGGGTTTGGTCGCAGCTCCCGGCCTCAGTTGAGTTCAGATCCATTGGAAGCTGAAGAACAGTTTGTGGACTCCATTGAGAAGTGGCGAGAGAACGTCGGCCTTGAAAAGTTTGTTCTTTTGGGTCACAGCCTCGGTGGGTTCTTGGCAAGTTCTTATGCCTTGAGGTACCCTTCCAGGATCCAACATCTGATCTTAGCTGATCCATGGGGCTTTCCAGTGAAACCTACTGAAGATAATATGAATATACACATCCCTGTGTGGGTTAAATTCCTAGGAGCTGTTTTAAGTCCATTTAATCCATTGGCTGGATTACGTGCGGCTGGTCCATGGGGTGAGTAAATAAATAAATTGCGAAGTTGATGCTATTCTTTCAACATAGTGGATGCCAGCCAGTGTGAGACAAATCTTTTACATTGAATTACATGTCAGGGCCTCCACAGCAGTGGGGGTGAAAGCCTCCACCCCTAAGTCCTTCCCTTTGGGCAAGTCCCAAGATCTCATGAGTAATTCTCTTCACTGTCTGCCATAGAGTCTTCATGATGTTAGTTTGGAGAGTTAGGGATTGGATCAACTGTCAATCCCTGAATTGTTTTTTTCCTTTTTTCACATTTCTTGTCTGCTTGATATTGAAATAATATTGTAAGGTGAAATTCTGTCTCTGTGATTCATGGGAGTTAAAGGTTAAGAGGCTCTCCTTGGTATAAACCAGGTAAAGGCCTGACCTGAAAAGTGAGATCCTCATTGTCCCATACTTGATGGTTGAAGCGGAGAGCAAAAGGCTATAACTTTATATTATAAATTATATTTTGATTTATTACATAATAATGAATGTTTGATATCACTTTTTCTTGTAATTTATAGGTCCTTCTCTAGTGCGACAATTCAGACCTGATTTTCAAAGAAAGTTCTCAAGTATCCTGCCAGATGATACCATATTTAACTATATTTATCACTGCAATGCACAAGTACCTAGGTAAGAGAGAGAGAATTGGTGATGAGTAAAAGATTTCTGTGATTTCCAACAAAAGGGTTTTTGTTGACAGCCGACTAATACCCATTTTATTTAGGAATGGAGAGAAGCACTCCAATAGTTACATGTCTCCTAGAAGATAATATGCAGTGACCTCAACTAGGCAATGGGAAAGACACTGAGGAGTTTTATCAAACAGTTGGTTGTCCCTCATTCATTGCTCAGCACCTAATAAATGATTGTTATTATCCAAGTGCACAAAGTAGAGTACAAATCATGTGCAAATAGTGTACAAATATTCTGCAATATTTTACAGTTATTCTGACAGTTGGTTATTTTGTATCGTAAAAGACCCTGTTTAACCAGTTGGCTGTGTGCGCTACACTTCTCTATCTGCTTTGCTTTTTCCACCTTATGCAAAATCAGCTGAAAGACTTAGCAGAAAAAAGGCAGTTGGATAATAAATAACTTATTAGATGTTTTGGTGTGTAGTACTGCTGAGTATTTTTACGAGCTGTGCGATATCTTGACAAGCCCATAGGGTAAGTCAAAATATGGCACAACTCATTAAAATACTCAGCGATGCTTCACACCAAAACATCTAATGACAGAGATATATTTATTCTCTACAGTGGAGAGACAGCTTTCAAGAACATGACAATCCCATATGGCTGGGCTAAGCATCCAATGATATATAGAATTGGTAATGTCAACAGAGACATTCCTATAACCATGATCTATGGATCAAGATCATGGATTGATCACAACACAGGGAAGGAAACCAAAGAAAGACGAAGTGGATGTTACGTCAATGTTCAAGTAATTACTGGAGCAGGACATCATGTCTATGTGGATAAACCTGAGAAGTTTAATGATTTAGTGGAAGGAATATGTCAAAATGTGGACAATGATGATAGTGAAAAATAATTTAGTTTGGTACATGAACATTCAGTCTGTAAATAAGGTTGCCTAAATGGTAGTGCTAATTGTCAAGTTACCAATTCCGTTAAAATCTCATGTGATAGTGTGCTGCACCATTTGAAAATTTTGTGGGTTTTAATTTTTTCTGATGGTGCTAATAGCCCTTTTTAGATCAGAATTAGTCACAGGCAACCAGAAACATTACATGCAAGAAACATCAGAGACTGAGGTTAATAAGTTGGCCAGTTGTCTGCCAATTATTTAATTAGCTAATTGAAAGACTTGAGGAAACTCAAGAAAAATTATATTTTGGGCTAGACTGTGATTAGAGACTGGTATCCTTGCTCAATTCTGGTGTTTAGTCATCATCAATGAAATGCAATTGATCAGTTGAGAGGTACTTTTCAGCTCCTATTTGAAGTTACTGGTTCCTCTTCATAATCATCACATTGCCACATGAACAAAATGGACATGGAAATTTGTTTACTCAGTGAAACTTGTTATATTTAAATTACCATTTATACCTGTAGATACTTATTGTCCTGTATACATTATTTAGTGAATAATTCTTCACCTCTTGCTACACCATCTGGCTGAAATTACTACTAACAACTAAAAAATTTCATTCAATAAATTGTAAGTTAATTTAGGAGCGTAAACAGTTGATGATGTAGTTTGTAATACCTTGGAATTAGCTAAGAAAATTGCACACAAAAGACATCTTAGATTTAATTCTCAATTTTAGCCATGTTTAACATGTTGAAAATTTTGATGTAGGTCTGTGATTAGTTGTAATTATAGTATCATTTTTAAATACATCTTATAACGTAGTGTTATTTTCTAAACACTTTAATTCCTTTATGGCAAATTTAGTATACAGGCACATTTTCCTTGATATTTATTTTTAAATAAAGTAGCTCCAGCCTCTTTATTGTTCTTCAAATTATTAATATAACTAATATGATTAGGGGGAGATTAGCCTAAATGTTATTTTTTTAATTCAATGAACTCAAGGAAATGTAACTCAGAACAATCATAATATATTTGATATTGTATTCTGTGAATTATAAAAGGGATGATGATTGATGATACATGTAGTTTTTATCGCTAATTGTAAAGAAGCCTAACTATGTCTCAACTGCATGTCACAAGGATCATTCTAGATTTCTGAGTGATGTTGAGATTGACCCACTGCTGGGAACTTTACACCAGAAAATGAATAACTCATTTTGTCACTTTCTGGATGAAAGTATGTAGAATTCTGATGATGTTACATTTTTTGACAATGAAATTTTTTACTGCACACTTGTCTGGAATTTTCCCCTTACACTGACCACTATTTTGGAGTAAAATAACAATATTAAGGTCTTACAGTTGTACAGACTAGGATTGTCTAGACACTATTTCAGTTGATTAACTATCTATAATTTGCCTTTGCATGATTCAGCTTAGTCTGTTTCCCTAATCAAAAGTACATATTAAATAAGCTAAGAAATACACTCATCAGTCAAGATCACCCATGAAAACTTGCAAACATGCTCCTCACATAGCTGCAATCCAGCATCTTCACTGATAATCTATAACTCACACTGAAGACAAAGG